GATTCATTGCGGATTTGCGATACAGTATTGATTTGCGGATTCATTGCGAACTTGCGGATTCATTGCGGATTTGCGATATAGTATTGATTTGCGGATTCATTCGGACTTGCGGATTCATTGCGGATTTGCGATACAGTATTGATTTGCGGATTCATTGCAGACTTGCGGATTCATTGCGGATATGCAGATTCATTGCGGATATGCGAACTCATATGCGCAATTCAATTCTTAAATCCGCAATACTGCAAATTTGGAAAAGCAATTTCGGCGCCATCCTTAGTCGAAGTGCTTGACTAGCAATAGTATTAGCTTTCGATAGATTCCTAACCCCACTCGCTACAACTGCAAATACAGCTCCTAAATTACGTAAGGAACTAGGAAGTAAGGGCTTACCAGTTTCGGGAAGAAATTCAGTTTTTTTCAGAAACCTACTCAAGATTCCAGTTCCAGGCGTCCCCGGGTCTCCTAATCGTCCGGAAGATATTGCTTCCTGAATCCATGTAAGCAATTGCTTTGCCCGTTCCTCATTCTTTTCAAGTGATCTAAACACTCGAGGAATATCCTGTTGATCTCGGTTTTTTACATATCCTGTTACACCTCCATTAGATATACGTAAATCTTTAATTTCAGCTGGACGGATACAGAGCATAATCATTACATCAGCTAGGCCCTGTTTGTCGGGTGTATTAGATACATCATACAAATCCAATCTCTCCTTAACCGATTCTAATGAGAAGTGGTCCGGATAATGAATTCCTTCATCTTCGCATAATAAACTCTTCTCCTTTTAGATTTTATTCGATAAAGTGGTTATCCCTGGAATCTTCGTAGCTTCGATTATTACCTTTGGGGCATTAAGCTTCCACAATTCCTTTCGGAGTCTACTGAGACTAGATGTATAGGCAACCGGATTAGGGGATATCTCGGCTAATGCTTTAGCTATAAGTTTTACTTCTTTTTCGCCAAGGCTATCCCGCATAATACGCTGAGCCATTTCTCTAATAATTTCTCCTTCTGGGATAATATCTGATACTTGGCAGGCGCTTTTAGCACAGCATATATTCACTTCCGCTTCTGCCCCTCCTTCTTTGGGGGTTACTTGACTTTTAGTTCGACCAGTTCTTTGAGAAAGTATCAACGCAAATGCTTGTTCTTTACTAAATTTGTACCCTTTTTGAAGACGATCACGAGCCTGACGCCTTTTCTCTCTATCTTCTGGTAAGATCTCAAGTATTTCTGGCGCATACTGGCTAAGGTCTTCGAGACTCATTTCATTGGTAAGTTTGTGGTCTTTAACGAACTTGGTTGTAATAGCAGACATGATGTGGTATGTAGATTATGGTAGTAGTTAGATTAATCTGTGGTATTCAGATTATATTAAGTGGGATAAAGTTCAATTCGAAAAATATTCCGTAATTTCACTACTTCATGGTCGGTGAAAAATATCGGGGGTTAGAGAAAGGGAAAATATATAACTTATGGGAGGTCTCTTTGAGGCCACCTGCTCCAGCCGAAATATGTTTTGCATATATTTGAAAATTGTGGGTAAATAGGATATGCAGAAAAAAAGACATAGTCATGGAACCCCCATTCCAAGGCTATGAACGAATTATCTGTACTGATTCACATTTTAGTAAAGTGCACGCGCTAGAGTTAATATATGTTCCGATCCTAAAACATTTGTCTTGGTAAATGCATCATATAAAGCACTTGGTCTATATTTCGAAGGAGCTAGATTCGGATGGTGGAGGAATTTTATGAGTATGTTATTTCTCCAAACTTTCATCTCTTCATGCCTCCAGCATAATTTTAATAGTTGGCATAAAGTAAAATCGTGCCAATTAGCTTGGAGTAGAATTTGCAATAGGCTTATTTTTCGTTAACCACTGCTAGTAAACTTCTTTCTGATACGATACTCCAAATACGATAGGAGATGAAAGAAAAGTAACTTCTTAATATTTGCAATTCATGTAAAGGTGGGATCAAAAGNCATAATTTTAATAGTTGACATAAAGTAAAATCGTGCCAATTAGCTTTGAGTAAAATCTGCAATAGGCTTATTTTTTCGTTAACCACTGCTAGTAAACTTCTTTCCGATACAATGTTCCAGACACGATATGAAATGAAAGAAAGATATCTTCTTAATATCGGCAATTCATGTAAAGGCGGGATTAAAAGCCTTTCTTCTTTCCAATGCATATAACCATCACATAATATTTTACGATACGCTGGCCCATTTATAATGATCATGCGATTAGATTTGGGATTGTAGATTTTTTTGTGGGCTTCTGTCGGCTGGTCTAATGTATCCATAGCGTTAGTATAAAAAGATAATTTATCTTATTAAAATACCGATTAATTTAAATACATATTTATTATAAAATTAAAAGTGAAAGAGGGTCTTATATCCTAAAATACTTTCATGGCTCGCTTTACTTGCGCACATATCAAGAAGGATAACACTATTTGTGGAAATAAGTGCTGTGACCCCACTGGGTGTTATAGGCACTGGAAATTATATGAAAAAAATATAGAAAAAAAACCCTGCCTTGTTAGTGGTTGTCGTAAATATACTCTTTCTACTACTGGATGTTGTCCTGATCATTCGAGTAGATTTCATTCGCTAAATTATCGGATGAAGCAGAAGTATAAAGCTGAGGCCCTTCAACCCAAAATCCCTGAAGCTCCAATTTCCAAGTCAGATAATAATAATGCTTCGATCCATGAACACTTGTTTTCCGCTTCTTTACAACTATTTGCAGATTCGTTAAGAAGAGATTTAACAGATTCAATCCGAGTCGAAATACTAAGCGATAAGGTTGTAATTAATGGCTCAGCTACAGAGACACCCAGAATCTATGAAGATCCAGTTTCTGAGTCAGATGATGAGGATATGGGTCTCGGCCTATTTGGGGATTAGTGTTTGCTCAACTCGGAGCATTAGGAATCCTCTCTGAATTTTCTGCCGGAAAGAAAGCAAAAAAAAATATTATTTCATTAGACATATAAAATTGGCAGAAGCCTGCATCTCAGAAGTATGTGACTATGTATCCTGGCTGGAGTGATGCAAGAATAGATTTTTTTACCGATAGATAAGGTTGCTTGCCGAAACCTAGGGGTTTAGGCAAGATGGCGTTTCGCCGAAAAGCGAAATTCTGCCGAAACTATATTAAAGTTATATTAAAAAACTGGCGAAACTTTGGAGAAAGGCGAAACTGCCAAAACTTATTATAAATGCTGAAACTGCCGAAACTCAGCCGAAACTATAATAAATCTATAGTAAAATTTTGACGAAACTAATCGTAAGATTTTGAAGAGGTTTAGACAAGCAACCTTACCGATAGATGTAGCCTTCTGCGGAATTATATTATATAAAAATGGCAGAAGGCTACACATACCGAATAGTATTAGCATAGGACCCCGAAGAATACATATAATACTGGGATCCAATTTTGTATAAACTTACTATGTAATTTCTTAATAAGTCATATGTTTGAAATTGTATAACCAAATAGCAGTTACACAAAAAGTCAGATTTTTATTTGTATAACAATAATGATTTTTACAATAAGTAAGATTTTCATTTTGTATAACGGATATTAGAATTTTTTTTTATATACGTTTAAAATTTTTTAAAGTTTTTTTTTATTTTTTGTTTAAGAAATTTTTAAGATATTTTTTAATAAAGAGTTTTTTTATTTGTTTTAAAAAACACTTGAAATATTTTTTAATAGAAATTGTTTTTTGTTTAAGAAGTTTTTAAGGGTTCGTTTAAAGACATTTTTTTAATAAAAATGAAGAAATTTTTTTAAAATTCATTTACAAAATTAAAAAAAATACATTTTATTATATATCTCAGCATCCAGTGATCATAGAGAAATGAAACACAGCTTATTAGATTCGTCTCAATAGATGAGTCGAATGGTGGTAGTTTCATATTTCTAGGCACGATAGATGCCGAGTTATGTGATAAAATGTAAAAATGCACAGTAGACGAAAATACAAAGTGCCGATGTGTGGTATAGCTCATCATCTATCACACCTAGAAACACGAAACTACTACCATTTGATTCGTCTTGTCAAGACGAATCCAACAAGCTGTGTTTCATCTTTTTACGATCACTGGGTGGTGAGATATATAACAAAATGTATTTTCTTTTATTTTGTAGTATACACCCAAATTTTTGCATAAAACTTACTATATTATACATATTGGGCATCAATATCTATTTGGTATTTAAAATTTTAACATGCAATTTTGTTTAAAAATTTTATTTAAGTTATTTTTTAATAATTTTTTTTAATAATTTTTTTTAAAAAATTTTTTAAGTATTTGTTAGAATTTTTAAATAGTTTTTAATAATATTTATTAAAATTTTCAATAAAATTTATTTGAAATTTTTCTTTAAAAATTTTTTTTTTATATAAACTCAGATTTATAATTGTATAATTTATAATAAAATTTGAACTTATGTGATGATTTTGTATAAAGCTTCTAATAAAATTAGGCGTATAAAGTTATATTAAAATTTTGGGTCTGGATCTGAGTTGTATATGTATTCTTCGGGATCCTATTAGCATATATCAAATAAGTCCTGAATATCTTCTGTAATTTGCATATTGTCCACTTTGCTAGAAATAGTAAAATTATCTATTAATTCATCGGGTGGGAGTTTACTATATCCATACCGAGCATCTTGCCCATTTTCCCAATAAATTTCTTCACCTGTTTAATATGAAGGTAATCTAGGAGCGTCTTTAGTATCGAATGATCCATCTAGGCGGTAATACCTGCGACTCCTATCTACAGCCTTAAATTTCAACCCATAAGTTGCATGTAGTGCTGAGTTCAGTAAACCAAGTTTTGCCCGATCTGTTTTCAATCCCGATTTTTTAACTCTGCGCGATGCATCTGTATTGTCAAATACCCGAGCCATTTTGAGAACTAAATCCTGGAGATGAGATATCGATTCAGGAGAATTCAGACACATCTTAACAACATCAGATTTATATCTGGCTCTATCATCGATATCTCTAGCTGGTGTACAAATTTTTAATAATTCTAGACAAATCCGATGCCTCTCAGCCTGGGTTATAGTTGTAAGCCTATCTTCTCTATAATCTTTACGGGTGATAGCCTCAACAGCCATTTCATTGTCAGTACCAGCATCTCATAACTGCCTATAAGCTCTGAACCATTTCATATAGTTATAATTCCCATACTTTGAGATGAACTCTTCGGTCAATGATTCAGATGAAATCTCATAACAATCTGCAATATGATGCCGGTCTAAAGAGCGTATCTCTTCTAAAGTCTTCTTCGACTTGCTTTCCAATAATTCAGCAGTCTCATGATCGAGGATATTGGCATTAGTTATTGCTGATATCTCCTCTGCCTTAATGGTAGCGGAATTCAACTTCACAACTTGAGATAATGATGTAACATTTTCATCGTATTTAGGAATAGGTTCTATGATGGAAATGATCATACCCGCCTTTCGAAGAAAATCAACCATCTTCCAACCAAATAATCTCTGAGAACGGAATTTCTCCAACATAAATGCTACCCATAATCGAATGGTTGGTACATCCTTATTCCGGATGATAGAGTCTATGTCAGGAAATATTCCTCTATTCTGAAGTTTTCAGGGAAGACATTCTCGTTTGGCATTCAACAACCATTGGAATAATCCTTTCTCTGTAATAGGAATATTAGACGATCTTTGTTCGATATGACATATATAGTCTTTGATACATCGCATGCAGAATAACATCTGATTCGTCCCAGCATTCGTTTCTATATAACTGTTAAAGATGCAGAATGCTCGTTCAAACTTGGGATTGGTGCAAGACACTCTTATCTTTAGAGTACTAGTATAGGCAACTAGGTCTACGTCTTTCCATGATTCTTCTACGTTGCTAAAGTCATGAGCCTTCTCCACCGGATCAGATTTACTATGATATTCCTTGATCCGTAATTCTGGAAAATCAGTTTTGAGAGCACGAACAATTCCTTGCATGTCTTTTCTAAGGTGACAGATGAGCGATGCGCTTGTTCGTTTCTCAGAAGGCAGTGAAGATATTTGCCTAGCCCAATCCCAGAGTTCGGCTAACACAGTTTCTTTATTAGGAGCCAAGCGGAATGTTTTACCATTCTGAGGCTGGTAAGTATTGTGGATAACTGAGAATGGTTTATCCTTGCGAAGGGGTTTAATCCATTCGATATTTAGATCAGTAAGATCATTATCCATGACGATAATCCGTCTAGCCTCTTGGATTAATTTATATAATCTCTCTATTGATTGTCCCGCCAGACGACTTTGTGCTTGAGCAATTATAGATACTATTTCATCAAGCCATAAGTCATATTGGATTGGGGAGCATTTGCATTTTTTATTACATTTGCATTTATTAACAATACGATGTAAACTCTCTATTTGACATACCACCCTCTTGTGATCGGGTAGATTTATATTACCATCAATATCGAAATATGACCTAAGATTAAGCCTTGTAGTAACAGCATTTGAGTAAGAGTGGCGCGTAGACAGCACTAGTAAATTTACGTCATCAGGAATAACCAAATTTTCAAGAACATATGTTTTTCCTGTTTCCCAAGGCGACCCCACACATATATCGCCTTTATTGGGTAATGATCTTACATATCTTTCCACATATGTTTCTGTCGCTGTAAGGGGGTCAATATACTTGACCCAAGATGGCATTTTTACGAAGGCTTTAAGGAAACCCGAAGCCTTTACCTTGTGGGAGGATTGTGGAGAATTTTTATTTTCTTGCTGAATTTTTTCTGCAATAGATGATTCGCATTCAAAAACTTCCCTAGGTTCATCAGTACCTTGCCGGAAGCATTTTACAATGAATGTTCCATTGCTGGCATATACACGACCGAACCACCGCTGATCCTTGTCATGTATACGTTTACATAGTGGACATTCTAGTAGACCTTTCCGGTTGAAATATACGAAGTTTTTCAAGTCTTTTTCTTCGATAGTCCAATCCCTAAGATAGTTAGAATGTTTTTGCAAAACAAGATTCGCGCATTTTTGCAATACATCCTGACTCACAATTATTCTTAGTGGATTATTATTTTTTTTTTCACTAAGCATCCAAGGTCTTACTTCAAGTCCCAAACTAGGAGGCGGTTGAACCCTAACGTGATCGAGTTCATTCCAGCCATTGTCTAGAGAGAATTGGAGAATGCGCTTCACCTGACCTTTTTTTGCTAATCCGATTAGGCGAAGGTTGAAATTCTGACCAGGCAACCCTCTGTCAATATACTTGCCAAATTTTTCACCGCTTATGGTATATACTAATTCTGTAAACGCTTTGAGTTCATGATGATCAATAAGGAGAGCTGGTGCATATAAAATATGATAACTACATTTGCTAGGATCTGTTGATGTAGTAACTATTAACCCTTTAAGAATATCCTCTCAGCTACAATCAAGAATTCGATACAAAGCTCTTATGAAAGATAGGCAGATTCAAAAGAATACTTCTTGTGCCTTAACACCAGTCACTTCCATATCTTCTTGCGAAGCATCTATGTCAATCACGGCTCTTAAAGGTTTTTGTCCATTAATACATTCGTGAATCCCAGGTAGACCATATACTTCGGAAATGTCATCTGCAACAGAAAACTTTGGGGCTCGATCATCTTGATCGATTTTGATAACCAATTTATCTTCCACTTCATCCCGGTCATAAGCATTATATAAACTAGACCCTTTTTCATTTAAAAAGAGGAACGAATAGATTGGAAGGCAATCCAACGATCCTTTATCATTTGACATATCTCTAGGCGATGATGAGAGAATCCCCTGAATGGCATTTAGCAAATCTTTAGGGGAAAATTTATCATTGAAGTTTTCTTGCCTCAAAGTATATGTCACATTAACCTTTCGTTCTTTTACAGCTTCGGTAGTGCTGGTTGAAACGCAGAGAGCTCTTTCATTATCGGACTCATAATTAGACTCGTAGTTATTATAATCATCTGATCCGCAATCAGAATCATTATTATAGGTATCTGAGTCACTCAAGTATTCACTGGGGCCAGCGCCGTCATAGCGGGCGAGAGTTCCAGTGCGATCAGTTTGGTCGGAAATAGTTGAGGTATATATGCTGACAGTAGGTAAAGATATTATATCACAATATCTTTACGAAATATTTAATTAATTTTTTTGTCCTTCGAAAAAAAGAGACATATAGCAAGCTAGTAGGTAAATCGTAAATAAAAGGGAAATGGATATGTATCTGAAAGTGTAGCTTTCTGCGGAATTATATTATATAAAAATGGCAGAAGGCTACACTTTTCTAGATATGTACTTGGGTATGGAAGGCCTGGTCAGAATCAATATATACCGCCTATACCGGCAATCGAAATTGGCATACTTATACCAGCCATCAAGAAAAAGGCATCTGGATGCATCAAAATGTGTAACCTTCACGTAAAATAGGAATATACCAAAAAGAGATACGAAATTCTCTGGCTGACGGTATTTACTTAATAAACACACCCGCTCTATTGGCGCAAATAAATACATTTTCTCTAGTGTAGTGATCTTATATAAAATATTGGGAAAAGACTACCCTAATACTAGTATATACTCGGGTATGTCATCCAGGGTAGTCTGAAGCGGATATCTTCCTTAATATTATATAAAAATTGGAAGAAGACTACCCTATCACTAGTATATACTGTATCTGGGTATGGCATAAAGGCTACATCTCGATGGTATGCATATCGCACCTCTAACCTCGAACACGAAATTGGTATAATTATACTGGCAACAAATAGGCAAAAGTTTTGTTGCAAAATGGTGCAGGCCGACTATGGTAATATACAGTTTTTTATATTTTGCAATTCGAATTCTCTGACCCTCGGGTTAGCAAAAGTCACTTGACTGGCGCAGTAAGGCGCAGTACCGGCCAGCATTATTCCACAATTTCTGTCAAGATCTTTGGGTATAAGAACTCGATATCCAAGCTGGCATTTCATAACACTTCCATGATAGTTCCTCACTAGTTCCATGACAGCTCCACAGAACTTCCAGGACACTATCAAGTCACCATCATAGAGCCAAGCTGGATCTTCAAATCACATGCCCAAAAGATCAGCCGAAATTATGGTATAGTGCCGGCCAAAATTAAACGCAGATTTACATTGATCTACTGCGCCACCTGACACCATATTTTTTTACCACATTTTGGTATCTAGAAAGGCAACCAAATAGGCGCAAAAAAGGTAAGTACTTTAATATAGAATTTGACATTCAATCAGACGCGAAAGGTCAGTATCGACAATATATATCTTAAATTACAAATAGAGTAAAAACATGAAGAAAAGAGAGATATTTAGGTTAAAGTATGTGTGGTATCTAGATTATAACTTGGTAATAAAATTATACATAGGAGAAAAATACAGATACCAAGAAAGGTATAAAAATATAGCTAGAATGTGAACAGAGATAACACCAAAATAAAAGAGTAGATTAAAGTGTGGTAGCCAGGTTATGTATTCAGATTAAAGCGTGGTAGTCAAGACGTAGTAATTAGATTATAGTATGGTAATTAAGTTATAGTGTGGTATTTAGAGTATAGTGTGATATCTAGATTATAACGTGGCATTCAAACTATAGCATGGTATTTAGATTATAGTGTGGTACTATAACCTAGTCTAAGTGGGATACCACACTATAATATAATTATATTATAGTGTGGTTAAGGTTGCTTGCCGAAACCTAGGGGTTTAGGCAAGATGGCGTTTTGCCGAAAAGCGAAATTCTGCCGAAACTATATTAAAGTTATATTAAAAAACTGGCGAAACTTTGGAGAAAGGCGAAACTGCCGAAACTTATTATAAATGCCGAAACTGCCGAAACTCTGCCGAAACTATAATAAATCTATAGTAAAATTTTGACGAAACTAATCGTAGGATTTTGAAGAGGTTTAGACAAGCAACCTTAAGTGTGGTATCCCACTGATGGTGCAAATGCTTACCCATCTTAGCCTAATAGTCTTGCAGTACCTACATCATCCTTATAAGGCATATTTATACCCACATCTGTTACTATCCATTACTATATCTGTTATAAAACAATATAATAAAAAACAGATAAAACAAGAAAAAAGAGAAGAAAATACAATAAAATCAGAGAAGAATAACAGATATAACAGATGTAACAGATATTTTAAAAATATATGAAAGGCCAGAAAAACTTTATTTTACCCTTCAAATCTGTTGCATTTGTTACAAATACTTTGTATATAATAATACTTCTTTTCGTTCATAGCCTTTCTCTTCATAAACAGTTTCAATTTTCTTTTTATATTTTAGAGTTAAAATCATATTATCTTGATTTGAAATCTGAATCTCTTTCTTTAATTTATCATAATATGACACCCTTAGAGAATTACTACAAATACTACAATTTTTCCAGAATACCAGCACAAATTCTAAAAGGTGAAAAACACTACAACCTATACAAAAAACCCTTAAAGGAAAAATTGACAGAATACCTAAAGGTAATCATATGGAAACTAAATGTAACATATACATCAGGCTAATCTTGTAAAAATGCTAACTGATCCTAAAGGATTTCACTATTTTCTTGTAGTAATAAAGGTCATAGGAAAGTAAGTCGATGCAGAATCTCTGAAGAATAAGACTGCGAATAAAGTCCTAAATGGATTTGTTAAAATCTACAGAAGAAATTATATTAGATCACTAATATATAGGTTGAAAACGAACTCTAGATTAGAATTCACTAATAATCAGATACGTGATTTTTTCTGAATAGCTAGAAGTCATGATGAAGTTCAGAGAACCAGGCAGACATAAACAACAATTATATACTGAATGAGCTATCTAAGTGAATAAGTAATCCAGAAATTTCTTTTTAAATGCATGGCTGTATAGGAGTTAAAGACTAGAATGACATCTGTAAAATGATCAGAAGATTTCTGTAATGTAGTTAGTAAAGTTGGTAGAGAAATCCTCCAAACATTCTGATAAAATCATCCAAAATTACAAGGAAAATTGATCTCCTATCTGAGAGAATACATGTTAAAGTCAAGTTAGATGAACCCATTTCTGTACTTGGTAATAAACTTCACAGAAAATTCTATACAGGTGATATAAAATAGGATTTTAATATTTATGTCATCAAAAAATAATACTCTTGTCCAAACAACTTTCTACATATTTCTTTAATGGATCACATGGGCGACTAGGTATATCCAAATATGCGTACATCTAAAAAGAACTGCAGGTTGTCCTAGAGAATAAACTTATAACTAGGTAATAGTTTACTTATAACTACAGTTAAACCTTGATATAGTGAACCTTTGATATAGTGAATTTTCCAGACAACTATAATAAATTTCTCCTTGTTATAACGAATTAACCAATCAAATCTCTTAAAATCTTCACTATAACTTTATAGCGAAGTTGAGGTCTAAACCCTAGGGTTCATTATAACAAGGGTTGACTATAGATAACATTATAACGCAACTGGATAATACTTTTATAAGAGTGTTATCCAGTAATAATCATTCTTTTCTTTTTTTTAAATTTTGGGTAAACTTCTATTTTTTAAAAAAAGTAAAACCAAAATTTATAAGTACAAATCTTAGTTTATTTATTTTTTTTTTTTTAGTATTATTATAAACAGTTACTAATAATTGTTCTTTTTTTTAAAAAATTTTAGATGGACTTTTAATCTTCAAAAAAAGTGAAATCAAAATTTGTAAATATGAATCTTAAATTATTTTTTATTTTTTATTAATATTATTATAAATAGTTATTAATAACTATTCTAATAGAAAAAACCAAGATTTATAAGTAAATACAAATTATACATGCTATCCAAATTATTTTAGACTGTCATAATTATAAGTAAAATTCCAAATTCAATTACGATGTAACCAGCAGGAATTAAGCATAAATTAATGAAAACAAAAGTTATAGATAAAGCAGAAATTAAGAAACTGGAAAAGATAGAATTAAGAAATTAGACAGTAATGCAGATTACTTCAAATCATAAATATAAACTAATTCTAGAATATGATACAAGGATATAATAAAAAAACAAGGATATGATACACAGACAATAACCATTACTCCTATTACATGAGGTATATGATGTTATTTATTACATCATAGTTTTAAAAAAGGACATTTGTGTAATTTATTTTTATTATAAATAGAGGATGAGATTATTTTAATAAATTTGATCATGAGTTACAATTTGAAGTTATATTTTATTTTTGTTATTCACATGTTTTTATTACTAATCTTATTTAATTTATCATAATACTAACTTTTATTTTATGAAATGTAAACTGATGTGGCAACTCTTATGAAGAAGTTTCAATAATATCCTAAATTATAATTATGACATTCCAAATAATTTAAGTAACATGTATAATATGAATCTTGATTTATTTTTTTTTCTTTTTTAAAAAAAAATATTATAAATAGTTACTAATAATCATTCTTTTCTTTTTTATAAATTTAAATGGACTTCTGACAAATAGAAGAACCAAGATTTGTAAGTATGAATTTTGGTTTATTTTATTATTATTTTATTATTATAAATGATTATTATCTTTTCTTTTTTATATATTCAGTATTTCAGATAGACATCTAAAAAATGAAAAAAACTAAAGATTTGTAAGTAGAATCTCAATTTTTTTTTTATTTTTTTAATATTATAAATGGCTACTAACTATTCTTTTCTTTTTTTATAATTTCAGATAGATTTTTAAAAGATTAAGATTCATAAGATATATAAATATATGAATTATAATTAGAGTTCCGAATAGGTTGACCAAATTCAGGTAACCTGACAGGTTGACCTGAATTTATCAGGTCAGGTTTAGCAATTGCAATTCAGCATCAGTTCAGGTTGTAACATCAATATAACCTAAATGACCTGTTGACCTGAAACTATGATTTTATATA